GTTTTCAAATGGGAGAGAACAAGGAATTGACTGCGTCAAAGTATGACATGAATGATAAATGGGACGCCTGCATCGATCTCGGCCTCCGTCGCTTCGTTTACTCTTCCTTGACTGGCGCTTTCGGTGGCCTCATCTTCTTCAGTTTGTCTCTCTTTCCCTAATTATATATATTTTTTCAACTTTTCAGATTTTGTTTTCGATTTGCCCGATTGGCGATTGCTCCGGACTTAATGACTACAATTTAGTATTATTCAGCTAGATGATTAAAACTTATGAATTTTATGATTTGTGGTAGCTATGGATTGCAGATTGGTCTATTTGGTTCTAGAAAGTTTTGTTTTCTGATTTTCTGGTTGCCACCATTTCCCCCCATGTTTCTTGTAATTATTTCATCAGATTCTAATTATTTATCTTTCAATTCTGTTTTGGACTTGGTAGCATTGGCTTTTCAAATTTTACATGTACATGAAATAGGTAGGATTTAAATAGCAGTCAGCGAACACGTTTTGGATGCATTGTTTCTTTGTTGTGCTTGAGAACGAAATGAGTCAATCGCAGCAAACATAGACTTTGAATATTAATGGTGAAGAGAGCTGGAACTGCAAAATAGCAGACTTAATACGGCTGCTATTTAATTCTGTGTTGTATTCTTTAGTATTCATTTAGTTGGTTGAGATCAAGTGGCTTTCTCAAGGAGACAATTATTATGGTCACCGCATCGTATGAGGCTCTTATTCTGAGATATTCTTGCAACCTTTCATCTCTTTGTGTTGGTTTTAATTCACCTTATATTCCAGTACCAGAACTAGCTCCTTTTTGCTTTTGTTGTAGGTTGCCTAGAATTGATGAAGGACTTGACTAATGCTATGCTTTGTAGGGAAGAAGGAAAAGTAAAGGTTTTTAATTTTATGCCTCATAATTTTTTTTATCATTTCTACCAAACAAAGCCTCAACAGTTAAAGTGATTATGCATTTAACCTTTTACTAGATGTTCATCTAGGCTGCAGACAAAGTAAATTGAGTTTACTTGTAGTATTTGTACGTCCAAGCATTGTCACTACTGTGCCTTTCCATTTTTGTGCTTTCTCGTTTGCTTATCTTCCTTGATCCTTTCTTGAATTCATAACTTTTATTTTTCATGCCAGGGAGTCCAGTGACTCGATGGGCATCTGAGCTTTTGGTGCCGGAGTTGGAATTGGATCTGCATACACAGATTGTTCCAGTATTTTTGGTGGGCATTCTCCTAAGGTGGCTCCTCCTAAAGCTTGACGATGCTCCTGCACCGAAGGTTGGCCTTAATGTTTTATTGTACTATGGGTTTAATATTGTGGACTCTTCCTTTTCTAGGTTGCACATTCATGTTTTAATTGTTTAGCGCTAATCATTTTTGTATATAAATATTAAAATTTTCTTCAACCTACTAGCAGTTACTTCAAGGTCTCAAATGAGAGTATATGCATTAGCACTAGTGGGGCCATTCTGGGTTAGGTTACAAATGTCCGATAACCGATTTTGTGATCATTAACTTTAACATTCACCCATCCAACTCTATCATAGCCATGCAGGAGTCATCGATTTGAATAAAAAAATTGTTGATGATGAGTGAATTTTTTTCTTAAGATAATTTCTTATAACAATAACTAGATTTAATAAAAAAAAGAAAAGAAATATTGTATACAGTGAAACTGTGATACTGATGAAAATCAGCGTATCAAGGATGCTTGTCAATTTTTCTTGTCCAGAGTAGATGATGTTGTCAATTTTTCTGCCACTTTTAGTTACAGTCAATTAAGTTTTAACTTTCTAAAAAATCAGCATATCAAGGATGCATCTAAAGTTTAGTTTATTTTGATATTATTATACTTATTATATGTTTCAAGAATCTCTATAAGAAAGTTAATTTAGTTCTCTTTCTGTTTCCAGAATCAGGAGGAGTGAGTTGATGTATTTGAAGTTCCTCTAGTTGACAGGTTTAAATTCAGAATTTCATAAGCTGATATTGTTTAGTCTTTCCCCGGGAGTGTATTCTGAATTTGTATTACTAATATCATATGTTGGTGGGTAAACAATTAACTTCATGTATCAAAAGTTCGTTATGAGTCCCCTGTAATTCTATCATTGAGTAGAACAGAATTTGAAGCGGAAAATGAATAACAAGTAACAACTCCTGTTGCAGTATTGAATTTTGCATGATAATAATTTGTAGTTCAACTTGATTTGTCTGCTGAGTGTTGATATCAAGAGTTCCTTTTCAGACGCTTCATTGCATAGGAAAGTTAAGGATGTGTGTGTAGGTCACATTTTGTCTCGGGTACAATACAAAAGTTCATAGAGATCTGCTTATGTAAAAAAATCTTATGGAAAGAGATGGAAAATGCTCTGTGTTTCTGACTTTATGTCATCAAAGTTATAAAAAGTTCCACATTGCCTACTTCCCGTTCTTCACTGGCTTATATACCTTATTAAAATCTCTGCCTCATTGCAATTTCTTGAACTCGGTAATCGGTATCATCATTAGGTTCCTTGCTCATTTCGATAATATTTTTATTGTTGTATGCATTTTCACCAATAATTTTTCGAAGGGGTGTAAAAAATGCGTGCCTCTTCTACACAAATGTAGCGTAAGTATGTGTGTGTGTATATTGATAAACTCTTCACGTTACAAGCCTCAATCTTAGAATCTGTTCATTTGAGATTGCACTTACCCTTCAGGTCTGAGTTTCACCTAATATTTCTTAATTTGTATCTACCGAGAAAATACCCGGATTTATCGCAACTGATTCATGTGGCAATTCTTAGTTGGTGTCTAGCAAGTTTAGATTTGAATTTTAACATCTGCAACCTTTCATTTACTCTTAAATCTTAATAATGTATTAACCTTCACTTAAGCTGAAAAGGTGATTCTGGAAATTCTTGCAATGTAAATGAGATGAAACATGACATTAGTTTATATATATCCTGGAGAACAGATTGATTGCTCAGAGTATTGCAAGGAATATGTGATGCACCAATTCTACTTTCAACAACCTACAACATAACCATAAACACAGATGCGCCCAGCTGTTTATGACTAGGGCATCATGTAGCCAATTCCTCGTTAACGTAAACGCCTGCTCCGCATCTTCATCCTCTTCCAGAGATCCGGGTTGATGGGAAAAGGCATGACCTCTTCCTTTGAAGATTACAACCCTGGACCCTTCGCCAATGATCTTCTCAAACTCGCTCAAAACACTAACCGGACACAGCGGGTCATCGTCTCCTGAAATGAACAAGACAGGCACCTTTATCTTAGATGCCGCTGTTGGATCCATCCTGGTGCCATAAAACGAGACAGCAGTGCTAAAACAAGCACCCTGGTCTGCAGCTAAAACGTCTATCACTTGGCCGCCTCCAAAACAGAATCCGATGATACGAGTTTCTTTGAAATTACGGCGGCTGTAAATTCATCAACCATCCATTTTGTTGAGGTCGCAATGTCATTCGCAACCCTCCGAGGGTCTTGGTTAGCCAACCATTGTTCGAACATTGTTTTTGGCCGGCTATTTGCCCAGGGATCACCACGAAATAGGTCTGGAACCAGGACACTGCAATCTCAAAGCATATGAGAGTAAACACAGAGCAAGATAAAAGCAGAAGAAAATCTTTGGTGTTTAAAGGTTAAGAATCATACTTGTAACCATGGCAAGCAACTTGGTATGCAAAATCTCTTGTGGCCGAATCTTGAAACCCAAAGATATCAGATAAAAGCAACACACCAGCTCCATTATTGTTCTTCACTGGCTTGAAGAGATAAGCTTGGATATTGTCATCTCCTTCCCCAATTGAAAGCTCAACTCCATTGACTAATTCACATGCTTCATCTTCCACTTCCACTGCACTACACCTTACTCTCTCAGCTCTATTCTTTCTTATCGATACTTGCCTATTTAAACTGCATTTTCTCTGAACACAAACTGAAACTTTAAAGTCAGAATCCGCAGATATTTTATATGATCAGTTATAAGAGAGTTGAAAAGGGTAGATGAACAGTACAAAAGTGGAGAGGAAGCGGAAGTGGTTATGATGGGTATGGCGGGGCGGAGGAAAACCTCTTCTGGCGGTGCAAAAGGAGTCGGATAGCAGGGAGGAGGTGGTGGTGGTAGTGGAAGCCAGCCCCATGTCTTGTGTTTCCGACAGGCCAGTGTGTGAGAGTGGATGAAAGAGATACAGCGGTTGCACTGTTTCAACACAGATATGAAACAGATGAATTTATTGAAGATATTTTGTATTTGTGGACAAAATGTATTTGGAATATTAATGTAAAAGATATTTATATACTTTAATAACTAATTTAGATTGAAATTTTTGTTTGTTCATCTGATTTCAATTTTGTAGGCTACTTTTCATAATTAAATCTCTCGAAAATTCATTGCAACAGATTAATATTCGGCCATAATATAAGTTGAGTCCCTCGACTATATCATAATATTTTGTTGAGACTTTCGATTATTAAAAGTTATAAAATGATCTTTCGATTATAAGATGTTACTTTGTTAAGTCTCCGACTATTAAAAGTTATAAAATGTTCATCCGACTATTCATTTACTTCAAATTTATCTTTTTTCGTTAAAAAAATGATGGTCGTCCGAGTTAGATGTTAACCTTCCGATTGAAATATGATAAAATATGATCACAGAATTGTATAATCACTTGAGATTATGAGATTATATATTATCATATCTCGGTCAATATGTTAATATTCAACTCAGACGACCGTTAAGTTTTTAATAAAAAATGATAAGTTTAAAACATATGAATAGTCGAGTAATTATTTTATAACTTTTTAGGGACAATTTTATAGCTTTAATAGTTTAAGGGATAAAAAAATCAGTTTTATATAATATAGGGATCATTTGTATAATTTTCTCTAAAATTAAATAGAATTTTAAGCGCCTATTTTAACTAAAAAAATTTAGACAATTAAAAATATAATTCACTAATATGGAGACCCGGCCCAATCGGATTGGACCCATAGACGGATAACCCGCCACCCCTACATTCTAGCAGTGTGAGTGGGTCAGAACCCGCCATAGCATCAAACTTCGCCATCGACCATGGAATTTGAACCGACCGAAGAAGTTAAAGAAACACCCAGGATCCACCGCCTGGACGAATCTGTGGTCAACCGAATCGCTGCTGGAGAGGTTATCCAACGCCCTGTCTCCGCCGTCAAAGAGCTGGTCGAGAATAGTTTAGACGCTTCATCCACTTCCATAAGCGTCGCCGTGAAGGATGGTGGTCTTAAACTCATTCAAGTCTCCGACGATGGACATGGCATTCGAGTAATAGACTCATTTTATTTTATTTTCCCTTTTGTTAATTTACATTTTCACTTCTTTTTTTCCCTTTTTCTTTTCAAATGGAAAAATTAAAAAAAAAGAGAATTGTTCTTTGTTGAATTTTATTAATGTTCCGTTCATAGTACAAGGACTTGCCCATATTGTGCGAGAGGCATACGACGTCGAAGTTGTCAAAATACGAGGATTTACAGTCTATAAAGTCGATGGGGTTTAGAGGAGAGGCGTTGGCCAGCATGACATATGTGGGCCACGTTACCGTAACCACCATTACCCCGGGCCAATTGCATGGATACAGGTTCTTGGACTTCCTCTCTTCTACCAAATGTTTGGATTCTTATTCTTCCTCATTGTATTAAACCATTTTTTAACGTTGAGTTATGCTGTGCAGGGTGTCTTATAGAGATGGCGTGATGGAGCATGAACCCAAGGCATGTGCTGCTGTCAAAGGAACCCAAATAATGGTATCACCTACGCTTTCTTTGTATTTATGTTGACTTATTATGCATTTCGTTTAAGTAAGTTTCAATGTATATTAGAAAACTATGAATCATTATTTTTTTAACAATATTACTTTATGTTTTGCATACATTTTAATTTTTTTCTTCTTTTCCTTGTAGAGGATTACATGAGCCAATGGGAATCCCAAGCAATCTCAGCTCATAGTGATTTTATATATGTTCTTGTTTTGAGTGTTTGCTGCATGTATATTCAGCTTGAATTTAAATGGATTAAGTAACTTAGCGTTATTTGAGTTCTTAAAAATATTGGAAAGGTGATCTAGTCCATACTTCTCAGAAAAATGAAGTAATTAAAACTACTCCAGCTGAAAAGATGAACAAAACTTTTATACAACTTAGTGATATTTGTTCTTGAGTTGTAGGTTTATAATCAAGCTTTCTTCACCAGCAATTTGCATGCTCAGTTGACAAGCTACTTCTGACTTCTATAATTGTGAACATAAAACATTTGAAGCACCCTTTTGTTGAACTTGTCTCATTTGTTAGATAAGCTCAAGTTTTTGTGTTTTCATAGAAGAGCTCATTTTAGGTTAGTCATGGGTAGCTTGTATGTGGGTCAGGACCTACTTATTTCCTGTTAGCTATTTTACATATTTGAAGTATTCAATTTTGGTTGTGTATTTCAGATTGAGAATTTGTTCTATAACATGATTGCTAGGAGGAAGACACTGCAAAATTCTGCAGACGATTATACTAAAATTGTAGACTTGCTAAGCCGCTTTGCCATTTATCATATAGATGTGAGCTTCTCTTGTAGAAAGGTAAGCCTCTCCACTGGTAATACTCCCTTTATAATTGTTAATTGTGTTATTGACATGTCTGATACTTGTATAGTATGAATTTATAAAGCCTTAACTTGTATGTCAGCATGGAGCTGCTAGAGCAGATGTTCACTCAGTTGCAACAACATCAAGGCTTAATGCTATCAAATCTGTTTATGGGCTCTCGGTTGCTCAGAACCTGATAAAAATTGAAGCTGCAGATAATGATCCTTCTAGTTCGGTCTTTGAGATGGATGGCTTTATCTCGAACTCTAACTATGTTGCAAAGAAAACCACAATGGTACTTTTTATTAATGGTATGTTTTGACTCTTCTATATTTGAGACTATTATATGGCTAGATGTTCTACTTTTATTTGATTAGCTTCTATATTATCTGGATGTGAGAAAGAAGCTGAATCCAATAAACAGAGTTAGTGGATAATGGATAATATTTATACAAACAGTAGAACTTGAATCATGTAGCAATATCTAACAATCACCGAAAACCACCCTCAAACCTAACATTTCAGAAATACTGTTTGGAGATGGAACAATTCTTTTACGTGAAGATCAAAATTCAATCGTGAAAATACCCTAAAGAAAATGAAATAAATTCACATAAACAAGTTATATGTTGATCTAAAGGCCCCAATCAATTTAATCTCCTTGCTGGTCAAAATTTTCCTTTGACGAGGAACGAATTTCAGCTGCTTGGTATTTTCCTGCTGTGTTAACTCCTTTTTTTTTGAGTAAATTCGACTCTAATAAAATTACATTGCACATGACTTTTGTAAATATTAGATCTATGTTTTACTGGTTTTTCAATTGTTGGTAACAGAAAACGTAAATACCCAAAGTGAGTAAGTAGCTATCCTTTTGGGAAGGAGTAGGGGTTTCTTGAAGACGTGAAGGGAGGGGAAGTGTGGTATTTACACTTAATGTTTCCTTCCCTTCCTGGAATGTTTGAATCAAATGAGGGTCATATGATCCTTGTAAGCTCTTGAATTAGCTGCTTTTTCATTTATGAATGACGATAATCCATCCATTTTTATCTAAAAATTTCCTGCAGCCTCGGTTTCTGATCTTTCATACTTGGAATATTTGGCCAAAATCTTGAGCATTCAATTAATCTCTTTCAATACCTCCTAACCAACCCTCTAAATGATAAAGGATTGGACAATTTTAGTTGAGAACTAAGAAATATTCATAACCTGGTCTTGTGAGCCAGTTTGATGTTTCGAGAACAAAATTCTAGATAATTCAGCTCCATTTGGCATGCCTGGAATTTGCCTTCTTTTTTGAGTGTACGTGCAGTGTAAATTTTTAGTCCGTATACTTGTTTTTAGTTTCCCTTTTCCTTTTGGTTGCTCATTACGGCATATGGTTTGGGAATTCATTCTAGTTCTCCACTTGCTGCTGCAAATACTTTTCTAGCAAAATGTCATTACCTGTATTTAATTGGCCTAGAAAGTTACGGACATTTAAATCTACCAATATCCTCCATTGTACTAATCTTATGGCTTTTGTCCTTAAGCTTTTTGTTAATGGTGCACAGGTGGTATGTAGGTTCTCATTTGATCTTTTATCTCACATTCCTCTTTTTTTCTTTGTCAATTACCTCAGGTAGATTGGTCGAATGCACCGCCTTAAAGAGAGCTATTGAAGTTGTTTATGCTGCAACCTTACCAAAAGCATCTAAACCTTTCATTTATATGTCAATCATATTGCCACCTGAGCATGTTGATGTGAACGTGCACCCGACAAAGAGAGAGGTACATATGGAGAATTTCTTTCTCTTTCTTCACTGCACTTTTAACTAACTTAGAGGTGAAGCATAATGAATAAGATGGCAGCAGTGAATGAAATTACCCACTTATGAATCTCTTAATGGTATAACCGAATAGAGAGGTACATATGGAGGATTTCTTTCTATGTCTTCACTGCACGTTTAACTAACTTAGAGGTGAAGCGCTATGAATAAGATGGCAGCAGTGAATGAAATCATCCACTTATGAATCTCTTAATGGTATAACCAAGAAGCTGATGGAAAATCCATCATGCATTTGGAAACAATGTCCAAACAAGTAACTAAACCATAGAAAAAAAGGAAAGGGATTAAACTGTATAGTCGTATACATAGTAAAGCAATGATAGCTTTCTTTGTGTTCATTTTCTCGATTCATGAGTATGCAACAGATATAAGCAAATGGTTGTTTGTGCATCTCGAGAAGACTCAATCAAATGCCTGAATCTGTTTTTTTTAGCATGAGAAACATTATAACTTAATTCATTATACTTCGCATGAGTTCCTGTTGAATCAGCTCTTATAGAATGTTTTACTTCCTGTGCTTGTCATCCCTGTTTTTCTGTTTTTTAAGTACCTCACTTTTTTTTGGGTTTTCTTGCAAACGTTATTGTGCAGGTAAGCCTTCTAAACCAGGAAGTCATTGTCAAAAAGATACAGTCTGTGGTTGAATCAGTGTTGAGGAACTCAAATGAGTCAAGGACATTCCAAGAACAGCAGGTAAATGTTTCCCTATCTATATTGTTTTTTTAGAGTACCTCTCTATACTAAGGTGCAGTATCTGAGCTTTCCACACCTAGGAGATCTTAGATCATATACCTGCCTTAAAAGCATAACGATGAATAAAAAATCACATTCTCTCTTTTCCTTAACCTATCATGAAAAGTTTGAGAATGTTGTAACTGATATGTTCATGTTGATAGCTGGTTCACTGTGCACGTCTTTGTGCTGTGATAATATGTTCTTGTATCATCTAAATTTTCTGTACCTATTAGTTGGGTTAGTAGGACAGCCAATATAGAGGCGGATGTCCTAGCTAAGGCGGGTATTGGTTGAATTATGCTCTGTTAAGGGCGGTTTCTTTCTGGTTTTGTATCTCTTGAGGGAGATTGGTTTGTATTACTTTGTTATATTTGAGTTTAATGAATCCTAGGGCACTCCTTTCCTCCTTGTGTGGATTAAGGAACTATCTTTAAGTTCCGTTAATCACCAAGGGGGTTTTATTGAGGCCTTTTATTCCTATAAAAAAAAATGACATTATTTCTATATCTAGAAGTTTTTGTCTGTATTCTTATTTTCCACCTTTTTTATCCTTCGTTTCTTTGAGAATTGTAAAGATTTTGAGGTAAACTCAGTAAACCATGTCTCTCTCATTGGGGGACACAGGGGGATGGTTAATTTCTTTTTGTAGTCCCCTTATTTAATAATATCTAAGTCCATGGTCATTAAAATTGTCAAATCCAAGTTTTTTTTCCGGTGTAGGTTGTTGTTCTTGTCTACACGTTAGTCAAGTGTTGATTTTCTTTATGGAAATGTAATGACCAACCTTTTTTTTTCTTTTTCCATCTTGTGTCTATTGCTTATGACAGGGAGTTGAAGCCTCTCCATCTGTTCACCCTGTTACAAAAAATGATTTAGATCTTGGTCCCTCACCCTCTGGTAATGTTATAGTAAACTGTTTCCCTGTAACTGTAGCATGCAGTTGGATTTCAGCTCTGAACATATTTGTTCAATAATATTTTAATTCTCAGGATCAAAATCACAGAAAGTTCCAGTGCACAAAATAGTGAGAACGGATTCATCAGATCCAGCTGGACGGTTGCATGCCTACTTATATAATAATACCCAGAAACACCTTGAGAGAGATTCTACCTTGACAGCTGTGAGGTAGGACCTGTAGTTCATGCTTATAGAGGAGTAAAATTTTCTTTCTTTTCTGATTGCTTGACTGTAACTTATCTGAAAGAGGTGGCAAATCATGTTCTCCTTGTACCTAGCCTCTGTTTCATTGTCCATTTCCTATGATGTTTTTTCCTCGCCAAAATGTTTAGTTAATCTGTTTCACATCCACTCAGAGAAAGTTTTTCTTTTTTAAATCATTCCCCAGCATTTGTAGAGGTTTCTACATAAAATAAATTACTTTGATAGATTGATCTGTGTCTAATATCCCATACAGGTCATCTGTTAGACAAAGAAGGAACCTGAAGGAAACTGCGGATCTTACTAGCATTCAGGAGCTTATTAATGATATTGATAGCAAATTTCACTCTGGTAATTTCACAATAATTGTTATGCAGGAAAACTAGATTGGGTGGACTTATCCTGTAGTTCTTACCAAAATATGCTATGCAGGTCTGCTGGACATTGTGAGACAATGCACATATGTTGGAATGGCAGATGATGTTTCTGCATTGCTTCAGCACAATACGCAGCTAATTCTTGCTAATGTGGTGAACGTAAGGTAATATTTGCACAAGTTCATGAAATCTTACATGTTTTTTTTAATCATGTGCTTATACCTATGTCTTCCCTGTGGAATTGTAGGGTAAAACTTTTGCTGTGCTTATTTTTATTTTATAATATTGTGAATAAAGCTGGGATAAAAATCAGCTCATCAGATTAGCAGACATTAAGGCAACTAAATTGAATTTAGAACAGAGTTCATGAAAGAACCCAGCATCAAGACAGTTAAGTAAAAGCAATAATTACATAACTGACTGTGACAATTTTACACAGTCAACAGGTCTTCACCATCTTAATCATTTAGATCATTAGAAATACTAAATCACAATAACAAAGGAAAACTTGGAACTTATGACATAGGAACACTTTAAAATCATCATTGGAAGATGATCTTGCAAATTGCAACAATCCAGAGCACAACATAAATGAAAATAAGAAACTAGCTCCTGCATGAACACAGACAACATTTAGAATTGAAAGGAAAAGATTAGTTGGTTGTATGTATTCAGTGGTATGTAAATGGGTTGAGAAGCGTGCTAATGATGAATTTGTTTGGATTGTAAGGAATATTCAGTAGGAAACAAAAATAAACCTTTTCCTTGAGAGCTTGCAGCAGTTTGAAATAAGGATTACATTTAAAATATTAGATCATGCAATAGTTTGAATCCAGAAAAAATCAATTACCAATCCAAATGCAACAATATGCTTGCTAATGAGACATGCGCAAAAGTAAAAAGAAAAACAGTTGGGAAACAAACTAAGTTAATGAATACACCCATATAGATAGTTATGACCTACAATCTCAAACAAAATCGAAATGGTTTTCAAATGATTCATGTAATAACACCAAGGAAATGGTAAGGGACTAAGGGTAGTAACACCAACTACTTCTAGTTGGTCAATATCCTACTAAATCGATTCACAGAAGATGATCATACAATTGAGACATGCCGTGCAACTTCATTTTTGAAGGGGAAAAGTATTGAACATATAGTACACAATTCTTACAAGACATCATATAATTCAGGTGGGGGGAGGAAGGCATCTGTTGAAAACCAGTTGAAAATTCACTTTTTGGGCGTTTCAGTAGGTTCTACCACTAAATTAAATTTGTTGATCTACCAATACCATTTCCTTTGTCTCAAGTTGCAAAAGGGAAAAATGTTACTGTTTAAAAGATCAATAAACTAAACAAAGGAAATTTGATGTAGCATTTAGACATATAAGTATGACTTTGACTTGTGCACATCATTCATACATGAGCTTCAGGTATGAAGCTCATTTTATCAGCTGTTAGCCTGTTCCATGAAGTCCTGTAGCCTTGTAAAATAAAGCTAATGCAACTAATGCAATTTATCATGTATGTACAAAGCTCCTGGGGTGCGTTTTCTATTTTTGTCAAAGTGATTTCTCTAAGGTTTTATTCACCTCTCTTTTAAATTAAAAAAGAGAATAAATTAACAAAAATAAAATAATGCCTTCTAAAATGGTAGTTATTTTTTGGGTTTTGTTTTGGCTGACTAACATGTGTCACTATGTGATAATGTTTATTTGTTTTGATGGAAAAGAGGAATATCTTTACAAGGTTGAATTTTTCTATTGAAAGTTTGGTCAAAGTTGGACTGATAGTATAAACATTGAAACCAATTATACTTGATTTAAATTCATGCATTGCTTCCGTTCACCAAGTTCTCCCTGAAAGCAGATATTTATTATTTTAAAATTTCCTTGTCTGCATTTGCAGCAAAGAACTTATGTATCAGCAAGCTCTTCGCCGGTTTGCTCATTTTAATGCTATACAACTAAGTGAACCAGCTCCTTTGCATGAATTAATTATGTTGGCCCTGAAGGAGGATGACTTGGACCTAGAAAGCAATGAAAATGATGACCTCAAAGAGAAGATTGCAGATGTAACATCCTTTCTGTTGGCCATAATTGATTGAAATTTATATCTATATTTTTTCTATCATGATTGAGATTGTCATAAATTATGGCTAATAATAATACATACATATATATATGTGGAAGGGTCTTATTATATGTTTCAATATTAAATTCTTTTTCTTAATATAAACATGATAATATCCCGTCATTCTAAGTAGAGGTGGCAACTGGTTTGGTTGGGCTTGGTTAGGATTTGGCCATTTTGAGTTCCTGTTGTTTCAGGTTTCATCTTTTTTTGGGAGGTTCAAGCCTTTACAGCTGTGGACCAAACCTGGGTTCAAGGAATAGATCATTTTTAGGTTTTCTGAAAGATGTATCATTTTAGCATGCTTTTGTAGTCTAGTTTGAGTTTGTGTTTCGGTCAACTTTTTGGTCTAGTTTGGTATGAACAGTCAAGGGTTGATCCATTTCGGACGGGATTGATTTATTTTGCCACCTCTAGTTTCGGCAAGAACAGACGCACAATCCTCCAATCCTTCTGCTTTTCTCCACCTCCGACTGCCGAGTCAGTTCTGAGCTTTTGTTCTGGAGATTTAACTACAAGTGGTGATACGTAGATTCAGTTACTCAACCAAAGACGCCGACATCTATTTTCAACCTCTTCTATTCGGTTTCTGTCCAGCCTTTTTCACTTTGTTTTCCTTCAACCTATCCCATCTTCCGCCAGAGAATATAAGCAACGAGAGTCCAAGTTTGCTATGTCGATGGCGAGTAAGGTGATTAGATTTGTTGGGATAAATTGCTTTACGGTGATCATTTTTAATATTCCAGATCTTCTTTATCATCAAGGTCTTTGGCTATTATTCGATAAATATGTCGAGGTGGTTGATTTTTTCATCCCTAACAAAAGAAGCAAGGGAGGAAGTAGGTTTGGCTTTGTTCGCTTCTCCAGTTTGGAGGACGCAAGGAATGCTATCAACTGTGCCGACAGATCTAAGATTCAAGGTAATGAAGTTAGAGTTTTCTTGGCCAGATTTCAACCTCGTGAAGCTTTATGGAGAAAGAAGTTTGCTGGCCCAAAACTATCTGAGGCTAAGAGTAAAGTGGAGGTTCATAAGCATTCAGAGGCTCCCATTGTCGGTGTTGTTGACGAGGATAAGCTCATCACTCTCAGAAATAGCTTGGTAGGTCGGTGCAAAAAAAATTCAAAAATTAAAGAGTTGGTTGCTCTTATGCACAAGGAAGGCATTTTAGGTCCGAAAATTATGAGGTTAAGTGGTTTATCAATTTTAATCATTTTCGAAGATGAAGAGAGTAGGGACTATGCTCTTAATAATCAGATTGGGCGTTGGAAAAATGCTTTGACAAAGTGGAAGTGTGGTCGGAAAATTTCCAGTGCAGCAGCCGTCGGGCATGGCTTTCGTGCAAAGGGATCCCACCGTTTGTGTGGAGTCATTCCACCTTCAACAACATTGCAGACAAATGGGGAGTTCTTATCTCCATTGAGGAAGGGACATTAATTCCCAGCTCGTTTGATAGGGCAATGTTTCAGATTACTACGAACTGTCAAGCTCAAGTGGAAGAATACTTAGATTTGAAAGATGGGGATCGGATCTATACAGTATATGTTTTTGAGTTTGAACCTTGTTTCAGCCCAGAATATGTCTGGGTAGATTCGTCCTTGGAGGATAAGGGAGTTGCCTACCCGTTATCCACGGTGGGGAAACTTGTTAGTGACTCGCCAATTAAGCCTCTCGCGATGGAGGAGTGTGCTGAGGAAGCATGAAGAAGAGTGGAATCATCAGTGGAGAAGAATTCCGAGCGGTTTTCTGAGGAAGAAGACAATATATTATGTTATTTGGGGAACAGAATTAGAGGCAGCAACTTGTCGGGTGAGGATGAGGATGATAGGAACATAGGGGAGGAATTAATTATGGGTCTGAGGAATGTGATTGCTGGTCAGGGATGGTACAATCGAATTTTGAGGAAGTTGTGGAACACGAGGAAGTGTTGGACCACGCGGAGAGAGAGGCAGAAAATGACATAAGGAAAAGTGGTGAGACTGCACGTGGGAATTAAGGATTATTTAATAGATTTCCCCATATTGGATGGTCGGGTAGAGTCAAAGGTGGTGGAGGATGGGACTATTGTGGGCCTTACAAATTATTGTGCATTAAAAAGATCCAAGGGTGAGACCAGGCAGAACCGGAGAGCAAATAAGGGGAAAAATAATAATTTCAGCTCTCTCCAAGAATGCCGTAGCAAGAATTTCCAGAGCAAGCTGCAACGCGAGGAAGAAAGGCCTGAACTTGAAGGTAGATCCCTATATGATTCTGATTTACGAGCAAGGTGACAGACTCAAAAGAAGGAAGCGAAAGATTCCTTACAGATCGGGAATGATTTGGGTTTAGAGTCTGAAGGCTCACAAGTGTTTTTTATTTCGGAACATTATAGCAGTGGAAGTATTGACAGAATCATTAAGTACTGAATAGTTTTTAGGGGACTAGAATATGATTTTTGTTTATGGAGTTGGACGTTTGGAGGGTCTTCGATGTGAAGTCGAGCATTTAGTGGCAGAAGGGCGGATAGAGTTTTTTCGAAGTCTGTTTTGTTCAACTCTTATCGTGTGGAAGCTCATGGCTTCGGAGTTTGAATTTGGTTTATATGGATTGTGTCAGCTGGTATATTTGGCCTTTTTTAGAGTTGTATTGTGTTATGTTGTATTTCGGGCCAAGTTGAGCTTTTAGTCCGGTTAGTCATTTGAAAGTTGTAGCTGAGATGATTAGGCTGTTTGTGTTGTGGTTGAAGGTTGTATTCGGTTGTTTTTGGTGCTTTGTCTATGTTGGGGGTGGCTATAGGATTGTATCTTTTGTAATTTCTTATGTTTAATGAAATCTTAAGGCACTCTTTTCCTCCTTCCTTTGATTAAGGAGCTTCTCTACAAGCTCCTTTAATCAAGAAGGGGTTTTTTAACGAGGCCTTCAATTTCTATAAAAAAAAATTTAAAGGTCTGTAAATCATTTAAATTGCTGAACAGGTACAGTTCCCCATATGTCCCTGTTTGTTTGACAATCTTGTGAATCCTCACCCTTAGATAGAAGAGAAAGGTACTAGCAAAATGAAAATTGGAAAAAGGTGAAAATGATGTATAACATAATTTCTTTGCTTTGCTCTTGCTTTTCTTTTCTTTTTTACTTTAATCAATTGGTGCATCTGGTCCTCATTTGTCATATATATATATATATATTAGTTGGTTTCATGGAAGTTTAGAAACGTACTTTTGAGTACATAATAGGTCCCTTTTACTGCCACATTGTATGTGCTTTTCTACCAACTATCTTGCACTTATAGAAATATTTGATCTTCTGTAGATGAACACACAGCTGCTTAAGAAAAAGGCTGAGATGCTAGAGGAGTATTTCTGCATTTTTATTGATTCAGATGGGAACTTATCAAGACTACCAATTCTACTTGACCAGTACACTCCAGACATGGATCGTCTTCCTGAATTTGTGCTATGTTTGGGCAACGATGTATGTAACATTGTTCTATAGCTTGTTTCATCTACTGCACAGAGATGTGCTTTATATTGGTTGTGGTAGCCGATACTATTTGCATATAACTGTCAGAAACTTTATACATGCAAAAGTTGCATCTTGAATACTTGATTCTATAGACTTGATTTCTCCTATTTATTGTAGGTTGATTGGGAAGAAGAAAAAACTTGCTTTCAATCACTTGCGGCTGCTCTTGGGAATTTTTATGCTATGCATCCGCCTCTGTTGCCAAATCCTTCAGGCAAAGGATTGGAATTTTACAGAAAGAGGAAACATGGGAAGAGTCCTCAAGATGGGGAAAAATCTTCTTCTCACGTGGGTATGTGTGAATCTCATTGTGTTTGTTTCTCTGGAGGATAGGGCCATTTCTGCCAGACTAGAAGAAAGCAAATGCAAATGTGATGTTGGCCTCGGTTATTAAATTGCAGTTTTAGAAATGTACTGCAAACCTATTTTACTTGGAATCGGGTGTGAGTCTCGGATATAGGTAGTGACATATAAAAGTATGGTTAGATTTTTTTAAGTTTTTCCATGTATTTGGAGGATCCTTGGAAGTCATATTCCCATATCATGTGTAAGACATGAATTCCGGACATGGGCACTTAAAGAAAGATGAAGAGTTAGATTAACATAGCTGCTGAGTGCCATAAAGCCCGTTTTTAAGGTACAACAAATATAGTTGTTACAGGTAGTATGCAGTAGAGATAGAAAATCACAAATGATCTCTAAAATTTAGACTCATCATATGTCCTTGGTCTACTAATTAGTAAAACTCTTGTTTATTGACTGTCGGGCCATGGAGTGTTCATACAATTGAAGAAGAGTCCAATTGCATAAATCGATAATTTTTTTGTCTAGTACTTTATCTATTATTTCTTTTTTTCTTTTTTGGCTTCAAAGTCTGCTATGTTACTTGAAATAGGTTTTCCAGATTGTGTTTTTCCATCATATATGCACTATGTTACTTGAGCTTTTCACTTTTCCTTAATGTAACAGTGCCTGGCATTTCTTTGACACTTTAAATTTGTGTTGTCTGATGCTTATTTTGTTGAAATTAATGTACAACATTGACATCCAAATGACATAAATCCTTATTTGACATTTGATCGTAGTTTATAAAACATAGCATATTTACAGTCCATGGGGCATAATGCTCATATTCTTGTGGTGAACGCTGCATAGTGGTCAGCCTTGGCAGCTTCAACTAATAGTCAGCCTTCTTGTTCTTTGGTGTTCACAGGGGATGGCATTGCAATAGAGGACGAATTTGAGCATGAACTACTATCAGAGGCTGAGACTGCATGGTCCCAGCGTGAATGGTCGATCCAACATGTCTTGTTTCCATCCATGAGACTATTTCTAAAACCTCCAAATTCAATGGCTGTTAATGGAACATTTGTCAGGGTAAGCAGATTATATCTTAACAAGTTCTATTATAGGTGGATTCGTTTATTATGGCTTTCCACCCATGGGGTTCTAAAGTTCTAACAGCTACGATGTGCCTCTGGGGATTTTATATTTGTATCTGAGCCAACACAATTTCTCTCTTTTTATGCAATTATGGAAGCCCATTGGTTACATGATGGAGAATAACCTCCTATTATAGGCGTTGAAGATCTAGGCCACTCGCTTATGCCCAACTTAGGCCAGGCTTGAAGCCTTGAACATTAGATCTTAGGCCTAAGATCGTCTAGAGAACATTATTAAAATAATATATCTTAATTTTTAGTCCAGTCCGTGGATTAGACCCACCCTCCTTTCCAGTACTCTCAAGGAACTCATTTTCAAATAGTTGAGCACACACTAATCAGTAATCCTTGCCCCCTTTTTTTATTTTTATTTTCAGGTGGCTTCATTGGAGAAGCTGTACAAGTTTTTCGAACGGTGCTAATCGAAGAACTGGTATGTAAAGTATTGCGTGAAGGGCTATCAGTGCAGTGTTATATGTCATCTTAAAAATTGTCTGCTCCAATCCAAAACAGCAAGGCTCATTTCCTCGAACCAATAACCTCTTTTTAGTTTTGTGAATTCTGTTATTTGCATGTAAATGATGGGCATAGAAAGGACTGAAGACTAGAGTTGTTGACATTGGGGCAAAAGGAGTTGATAGCTTTGTTGACCTTTAGGGATGGCTACTGCCCCCAGAAGCTGTTTTATTTTGGAAAACAATAAATAACTTTGTTGACCCCTGGGCAGTGATGGACCGAAAAGGAAGGTGGAGGCAGTAGCCCCTCAAATTTTAAGTTCTCTTATATTTTAGATTTTTTTCTGTGTACTTTTTATTGATAATCGATTTCCTCTAAAATTTTATAAGTTCGTCCCTTAAACATAAAATTATATGTCTGTCCCTGCATGTACATGTGGATGACGATTTATGTTGTGGATGACGATTTATGTTGTGGACTTCCAAAATGTTTTCTAAACTTATTTTCTCACATCAATTCTATGCATTTGAACTTCATAAAGATAGGATATTGACTGAAACGAGGAGTTGGTGTGTTGAGTTCTATGCTCTTATCCTACAAAACCATCTCTCCTTTGAGTTGTAAATTCTTTCTTTAGTTTCCCCAAAATGATCTTTGTTCAAAGAATCCACCAACATTGTTAATTTCCAAAATTTGTATGAACAAAACAATATTACCTTAAACTTATATTTCATAATATGGATTTAAATTTCGAAGCGTATAATCTATGTGATAAAACACAAATATAATATTGGTAATTATTTTTCAAACTCGTGATTTGTTGCATAGTTATTTAATAATAAGTTTGGCATTTTTAGGATACTTTTGAATTTAAGTTCCATAATTGTATATTTTAAAATATATAATAATATTTCTAAAAAATATTGTAATAGTATTAAATCCAAATTAATTTATACCTAAATTATGCACTTCTTCTCGCAATAGTATGCTTTGCTAGTATTGTTACAAGTAGCATATCTAATTTCTAACACTAAGTGATATATATTTACAAAAAATGTGTAAATGTTAAATACAGATTCTCACAGACGAATTGCAATTAAATTGTTTATTAATACCATAAAAAAATTATTTATTTCATATTATTAATTACGATAAACCTAGATGCATTATAATATTATAAATTAGGACAAATTAGAGCTTATTATTTTTTATAAAATTAAAAACCTATTGTTTAAAAATATCATATAATACTTATTAAAATCGTATTTTAAAAAATATGAAGATAATATAATAAACACCACGCAATATATTTAAACAAGATTAATATAATTTCATTTTATTGTTTAAAATTGGTACATTTACGTTTTATTTATTTTTAATTTAATCCACGTTAATAGCATGAAAAAAACATAATATGGATAGGATCTAATTAAAATTAAAAATTTTAAAAATTGCAAACAGATATTTGTTTTGTGTGTTCCAAAGAAGAATAGCTAAGACTAGCCTAGCCTAAGAAGGAACAGTGGGCTTAACGACAATGTGAAATGGAAGGCTTACAGTTACAGGATCCGAGAGTAGAGAATCGGGTCGGGTGGGCTGAAATATAGATTTTGATTAGATTAACGTTAAAACCCGACGAGTCGCTTGCAAGCTTCAATATTTTGGAGCCCCTCTTTCTTCTGGATTTGATCGCAACATTATGAAATTCATCGACAGCAATCTGATCAGGATCATCGAAATGATGGAATATTTTGTAATATCCTCCCCTGCCCGGTGGAACACTATACGAAGAAGAAGAGGACGATGTGGATCTGGATCTCCTGATGGAGAAGGCCCTTTTCACGGCGTTCTCGAGTGCGGAGCTCTGTGTCTCGGCTCTCAGGGCCACGGTGGACGCACTCGAAACCGAACGGCTTCTGCTTAATATCACCCCGAATATCTCCCCTTCTTCTGATGATTCAACAGGTCGACTACCGTATAACTTTGGAAACTCCATGGCTGTGTCTTGTTTGGTGGCCGAAATGGGATGAATTATGAATGATTCATGCATTTGCTTTGCTCTCTCGAGAATTGGACTTTATTTCGGGCGCTGGTTTGATAGCAGGTTGGTTAGGCCACCAAAGAGCCAACATTTGTCTACGCTAATTTATTGATTTCAGATTTGTTACTTTTTTTACCCCATGCATACAACACTTGATAGTGAAACTTAGAATTTGAGTAAATGAAAATAATAGAGTGGGTTAATTACTGGATTCATCACTTTCATTTCATATTTGTATATTTTTATTCACTAGATTTAAAATTTAAAATAATGTTATTCGGTTATTTACGTTATTGATTTATTAAATTTTGGTAACTCTCGTTATTGATGATTATATTTTGGTTACTGATTTAATTTATGATGCGACATGTTAGTCAAAATGGGTTAATTTTTAATTTGGCCTATGAACTTTAGATAGAATACTAATTTAACCTTAAATTTTAGATAAAATGTCATTTTGACACTTTAAATAAAATATCAATTTGATCATTGAATTCAATCAAGTCTCTCGTCACCGCTCGACACTCACCACTTTCGTCGACACCGACTATCGTTGGTCCATAAAATTTACAGTTCACTCATTTCTTTTGCCTCTTGAATATAAATCTAATATACCTTGCATTGAAAAATGACTCAAACTCAACAAATCTAGCTTAGGATCCTTCTACTTCCTTTAAAATTAAATCACAATAATAAATTTATCATTAATATTCTTTTAAAAATAAGTACACCAAACAATTAAATATGTATTATAATCAAATTCATAAAGTTTTTATTTATAATATGAAAAATTCTACAACGTTCGTCGAGCGTGGATAAGCACCGTTAACGATGAGCACTATTAAATTAATTTATAAAACGTTAAATTATAAAATACTAAATGTATAATTATAAATTAGTTAAAAATCTAAATGTAATTTAATTAAAATACAATATATATAAAATATTAGTTTTTATAATCTTACTTTAATTATAATTAGATAAAATATTAATTTGAAAAATTTATAAACCCTAATTTATTTTCATAGCTTTAAAGTTCTCGTCGTCGTCGTCACCACCACAACCACCATCGTTGTCGCCGCCGCCACCACTGCCATTGCTCACCACCGCCGCCACCACAACCACTGCAAGCGATTTAGTCTGTCATTCTCCGGCGATGAAAGATGATACCAGTGACGGCGATGGCGACGACAACAAGGTCTTTAAAGCTATGAAAATAAATTAGAGTTTATAAATTTCCCAAATTAATATTTGATCTAATTATAATTAAAATAAGATTATAAAAACTAATGTTTTATAAATATTGTATTTTAATTAAATTATATTTAGATTTTTAACTAATTTATAATTATACGTTTAATACTTTATAATTTAACATTTTATAAATTAATTTAATGATGCTCATCATTAACTGTGCTCACCTATGCTCGTCGTGACAACATCATCGTTATGATATTTATAAATTATCCATTTTTTTTCTTCCCAATTTCTCCATATTTCCCTCTCACTTCTCTCTAAGAAGGGCCTAAAAATGGGTCAATTATCGGTGTGCCCCTATAATTAGACTTGGTTAAATCGATAATTGTTGATTATTATCATCTTTCATCGATAACAGTTTAAACTCATCTGCTTAGATTCACTTTTCATCCGGGTTTTGAATTCGTCCCTTTCTCCCTAAAAAACACTCAAATTAACACATATTTGTTGCACATATATTTAGAACATAAACATGCTAAATAAAACATTAGAGCAAACTTTTAATCAATAATTGTTTCACCTCATGGCTTCTAAGAAAATCCACCCATTCAAAATGGATGGCTCTAATGTTAGTGAAACGATTTAAGATTTTATCATGGCAAAACAGGTAAGGAGCTTGCTGTATCCACCTCTACCCCCTCATTGAGATGTGTTATTTACTTTCTACTTTATTCTTTCATGGATAAGTTAGTGGTTTGACAATGCATTTAGTGAAATTATATGTGATTCCTTTCAAAAAGGGACAGGAAAGCCGAAGGTGATGGTCTCACATGGGAGTGGGGTACAACTGTAGTCTGTGGGAGGCTCAACCCATAATGCATGGCATGAATTCAAATGGAGTGGCCCTTTTATAAATGGATCAGTCTGTTCCAAGGAGACGCCAAAGTTTTGGCATTTTTGGTACCCTATGCCCTCTTCTTCATTTCATCATTCTGGCTTTGTAATTGCTTTAGGATTATTGCTCTTCAGAATTTGTTATAACACGGAGTCATAAAACAACAAAACTTAAAATGATTTATTAAATAATTAATTAAAAAGATATTATCGCATAACTATTGTGGGAATTTTAGAAGGAGTTTGAAACTAAGATGTGTTAACTAGGTAACACGTCTTTAGGTATAGTAAAAGAAAAAAGAAGGGGAGAAAACAATTAATAATAAAAGTGGCACAACTGAGGTTTTTAACTCCAATATCCATGTATTGGTGATGACAATTAATTTGGTATCGTTTGGATCTTGATGGGAAGGCCCTCCTCAGGAATGGGTGAAGGAATGTAAGAAATCTTCTCGTTAGGATTGCTTTTGAGCCATTTGTAAGAGGTGACGAGGTTGTGAATGAAAGTGAGGATTTCGAGTCGAGCATACTCTTTTCCTGGGCACATTCTAGGCCCTCCCCCGAATGGTACAAATGTGTAGGGCGCTGGACCATTCCCTTCAAACCTCGATGGATCGAATCTTTCTGGATCCGGAAAGTATTTCGGATTCTTGTTCGTTGTATGTACCGTCCAAAACGCCTGAACCACTTCCAAATAACCATTAATAACACCGTGTATATAATAATCTTTATTTAGTAGTCCATACATCAGACACGTATTGGGCGTTAATTACCTTCCATCCCTTGGGAATGGTATAACCAGCATAAGTGAAGTCGGTAATGGCCTCTCTAAAAGAACCATTAGCAGGTGGAGCCAGCCTCATTACTTCGCATGCCACGCACCACGTATACTTCATCTTCTGTATATCTTCCCATCTCAACGCCTCATCCCCTCCCTCTTTCCCTCTTAACACTTCCATTTGCTCTGCACTTGCCCAACAAGTAGTGTCAAGGATTGCAGTGCATAATGATTATAATCCAAATCAAAAATAGGTACCTTCAAGGACCCTGTTATATACGTCAGGATGATCCGAAAGATAGCTGACAGTGAAGGTGATGGCAGTGCTTGTTGTGTCATGGCTGGCAATGAAGAAGCCAACAATCTTGTTGCCGATCTCAACCTCCGTCATTCCATCCATCAACATGCTATCCACCAAGTCTGATGCCTCTGTTTTTCGTTTCTCTGATATCTCCTTTTTCTTCTTCGTAATGAGGGCTAAAAGCTGCTGCCGAATCTGCCTCCCGGCTTTCACCGCTCGGTTGAATGTTGTACCCGGAAGATCAATGGGCACCGATATGAGACCCGCAGTTGCCAGAGAAAAAGGCTTTGCGAAGTTTTCGATCTCATCTGGATCCGTGACGCTCATGAAAAGACGACAGGCAAGTGCAAACGTGTACTTCTTTGAGAGCGGGAAAACTTGGACTTCATTATAGGGGAACCAGTGTTGATTCAGGTGCTCTTTAGCCATTGTATCCATCACTGGTATAGTGCTGCAAAGACTCGGGCTTGAGAAAAGGAGGCAAATAGGCTCGAAGTTTGGTGGATTCTTCCTTGGAAGAATTGTCGACACTGGCCGGATCCATGAGAGCTTTCTTGATGGAATCGGGCCACCATGAAGTGACATTTATTTTGGCCGGAAAAAAGGAACTTGTTACCGGCAGCGCCGCAAAAGATGGCCATGTCTTCTCCGAGCAAAGATGTGCGGAACACATCGGGTGAATATTTGGTAGTTCTATCGGTTATGAACTTCTCGGGAGTCCCCCATCTGGACGCCAACACATAATCCAAAGTCTCACCGATGTATGGAAGACCCTTTCTACCGGGAGGAAGATTGAGGGTGGCGCTGGATTTGTATTTGTAAAGCAAGTAAATGATGACGACGGACACGTATAGAACTACCAAGTGGAGAAAGTATGGCATCAAAAAATCAATGGCGCCCATGGCTGCAACCTTCATCTTGCTATGATGTTCTTCAAACTGTTAGTGGATATGCATGTGACATTTGGTGGCCATGTATATTTATACTCATCATAATCAGTCGCCGAAGGGATAACCGATCCCCGTTTTTGTCACGGACGATAACAAGTTCAAACTCCATCAAAGTTTGGAATCTGGGCTCGGGTTTTTAATGGAAATCTTCCTAATATAATATTCCCATCAACGATCCTAATTTTTGATTTCTTCGATGCCTCTACTCAAACTAGCTGTGTATATACAAAGATTTAATATTTTAATTCATTGTTAACATTGTTTTTAATATATAGTTATTGATTAAATTTCTTTTATACTCAGCTAGTTTGAGTAGAGGCATCGAAGAAATCAATTATTCTAAATTTATTCGTAATTCGAATATTTAAATTTATTCGTAATTCGAATATTTAAATAAAAATTAATATCTTTAAAATTAAAATCTTAATACTTTTTTTGTTATAAATTTATCTATATTAAAGATAAAAAATTATTCGTATTTTTTTTAATAGTCTAGGATGTTTATAAGATGATATATGTTTAGAGTCTTTCCTAACCGCTTACAACACATACACACCCTTTATACACAATTACTCAAATCTAAATTGTTTAGAGAATATCATTTCTTTTTAACACCGATGCCACTCAATTGGTTAAAAAATTATATTTTAATTCATTAAATGTTATTAATAATATATATATAATAAAAAATTTATTTTAATAATATTTTTCAAGTAATGATATTTAAAAAAGTGATATATGATACAAATAATTTAAAAGATTAAAAAGAAATTACTCTTCTTTATAATAAATGAACTAATTTGTAGAACCCACCAGCTAACAAGATGGAAATAGATAAAAGGAAAAAAATAAGAAAAACAAATCAAGTCATTAGAAAATGCTTTTGTAGAATTTCTTTCGGGGAAAAAAACAATTCACATAAATCGTATGGATAACTTTCCATATTATGTTGATCAAATAGTACATCGTCTTAATTAATTTTATATTATTCTAAATATAAAATAATTAATTTTAAGATTCATTAATTAATTAAACAATCAAGAATATTTATATTATCTCAGTGTGAGTTTAAATTTTAACATTTACCTTATAAGTATAATATTTCTATACTTAATATAAAAAAACAACAAATTTTAAAATAAAGAGTAAAGTACATAAATAGCCCCATGATTATAGGGCACTTTTTGAGTCTCCAGACTATTAAAAGTATAAAACAATCTTCCAACTATATGATGTTATTTTGTTTAGTCACTCGACTATTAAAAGTTACAAAATGGTCATCGAACTATTTATATGTTCTAAACTCGTCATTTTCGTTAAAAAAAATTGACAACAAAATGAATTGGACATTAACTTGTTAACTAGGATGTGATAGTCGTTTGAGATTCTGAGAGCATATTTTATCATATCCCAATTAGCAAGTTAACGTCTAGTTCAGATTATTGTCAAATTTTTAACAAAAAATACAAGTTTAGAATATATGAATAGTCAAATAATTATTTTATAACTCTTAATAGTTGATAGACTCAACAAAGCAACACTTTATAATCGGAGACTATCTTATAATTTTTAAGTAAAGAACTCAACAAAACAACGTCATATAATCAGAGATCATTTGTGTACTTTAACCTAAAAATAATCTATTACATCAATCTACTTTTATCAGTGGATTTAATTAAAAAAAATCCGAGCCTCGCTAAAGAATCTCCTTCTACCAGAGATTAAAAAATCTTATGAAGGAGAAAATTTGCCCTAAATATTAACTAAAATACGCTAGCAACATAACAGAAGAATGTTTCATTTAAAAAAAAACTAGCAAAATTAAATCAAAGGAATTGTACTTAATTTATTGTTAATACACATGTTTTTCGTATGAAGGAGAAAATTTGCACTAAATATTAACAAAACAACGTCATATAATCAAGAGATCATTTTATTAATAAAAATTAAAAAATATATAAAAAAAAATCAAGACACAGCATGCATTGTGAATTGAAATTAAACCAAACGAGTAAAAAAAAATCTCTATTGCAGTTACTTGGAAATCGGAAGTTACCAACAAGTTTTTCGTCAAGGACTGTGGTGGTGACTTCTTTCGATCACTTTTATGTCATTTTTATTTTTTTAATTGATTGTAGTTCAATTTTGTTAATTTTTGGTTATATTTTAATGTATTTATAAAAATGATGTTTATTTACCCATTTTTTAGTAAATGATTTCATGATTATCGGTGTAGATTTCTTTTATTGGTTTTCTTCTTGGTGTATGGTTTTTTAGGATTTCTTTATTGCTTTTTTCGATGCATGGTTTCTCCATTTGTTTATATATGATTTTTTGTTGGTTTTAGGGGCTATGTGTGGGATGGGATTGCGGTTAAAGGATGACTCATTTTTAATTAGTTCGCTTTGAATAGTCTCTTGGTTTTCCTTCTTTATGTCTAGTTGGTGTAATCCATTTTTGTATGTCGTTGCCTTAATTGTTAACATTTTTGTTCATCAGGCTGTCACTGGTTGTTCGCTATTATATTTTACTTATGATAGCCATGAACGTATTTGTTTCGTGTATATGGCAATAATATATTATAATTCCAAAAAAAAAAGTTCAGTTTTTTTCTTTCTGATAGCTGAATTTTTTTTACCGTGAAAGAAAAGTAAACCACAAAGAAAAACAACTGAAACCTCTTATGCTACCTTGAGCCCAATGATCATTATTCATTAGATCAAGGTTCCAGTTATCAAGTTGCCAACCACACTAAGAGCCAAACTCTGAACAATCGCGTACATTCTCTTTCCAACCTTTCCAAATCCACCATGTCCCTCAACTTGACTACCACTGCTTTGAGCATGATAGTTAGAGGGGGTTCCATAGCCATGATCATGTGGAGGAAATGAAGGTTGTGCAAATTGTTGGAAATCAAATTTAATTCTAGAAGTTTGAAAAGTCAAAAAAAATATAGCTAAAAGAATATGCTTAATTATTAAGCAACATGCATGTTTAAAAATTAAGGGAAAAAACGTGTCAACAAAAGCAACTAAGATGTGTATGCTTAATCATTAAGCACATGGGAAATGGCAGCAGCAAAATGACAAAGTCCCAACAAAGTCAAAGTTGGCAGCACAAATTCATCCAGGGCAAGCAAGTATTAAGGCGGCATAGAGAAATTGAGAAACATCCAAAGTAGTTCAAGGCGGTTTATTACATCTATATATACGGGTGTTCTACTTTAGTTTAACATGCACCACAAGTTAATATGCAACACAAGTGAGAAAAATGAAAGCTTAGAAAAACAAAAATGAATAATAGCTTAGCAAAGCTATTAGAGAGAGGGTAAAGTTTAATAAAGCTTAGAATATTGAGATTGTGTTTGTAAACTAGCCACAGCTAGTGTTGTAGTGTTGTATTATTGTAATATTGGGGTAACGCCGTTGTAACGTATTTTACCTCGTATAAATAAAAGTTCGAGTGTAATAAATTACCGAGTGCCCATCTACGCTTCCAACAAGTAGGATCAGAGCTTGGTTCGAGTTCAACGTGGTGGAGAATATGGCCAACATGATTCAACCTCAAATTCTGAGATTGACAAAGACAAATTACGGAAATTGGAGCATTCAAATGAAGGTGTTACTAGGCTCCCAAGATTGTTGGGATATCATCGAGGATGGTTACACCGAGCTTGAAAATGCAGCAACAAAAGCAGTCCTGACCAATGAAGAAAAGAAGGTATTGAAGGAATCCCGGAAAGAGATAAAAGAGCGTTGTTCTTTATTTTTCAAGATCTAGACGAATCTACCATTGAAAAAATTTCTGATGCGAAAATCGCAAAACAAGCGTGGGAGATTTTGCAAAAATCTCTACAAGGTGTCGAAAAAACAAAGAAGAATACATAGCCGCAGCAGCGTGCACTTGCCAAGAAATGAAGAAATAATTGAAGATGACAAGTGGAGAAAAACTTGGAATGGAAAATCAAGTTTAAGGGGGAGTGTTGGAAATCAAACTTAATTCTAGAAGTTTGAAAAGTAAAAAAAAAATGGCTAAAAGAATATGCTTAATTATTAAGCAACATGTATGCTTAAAAAGTAAGGGAAAAAACGTGTCAACAAAAGAAACTAAGATGTGTATGCTTAATCATTAAGCACATGAGAAATGACAGCAGCAAAATGACGAAGTCCCAACAAAGTCAAAATTGGCAGCACAAATTCATTCAGGGCAAGCAAGTATTAAGACGGCATAGAGAAATTGAGAAGCATCCAGAGTAGTTCAAGGCGGTTTATTACATCTATAGATACCGGTGTTCTACTTTAGTTTAATATGCAATACAAGTGAGAAAAATAAATGCTAAGAAAGCAAAAAATGAGAGATAGCTTAGCAAAGCTATGAGAGAAAAGGTCAAGCTTAACAAAGCTTAGAATATTGAGGTTGTGTTTGTAAACTAGCCACAGCTAATGTTGTAGTGTTGTATTATTGTAATATTGGGGTAACGTCGTTGTAACGTATTTTGCCTCGTATAAATAAAAGTTCGAGTGTTATAAATTACCGAGTACTATCTACGCTTCCAACACAAATGACTGAGCAGGAGGTATGCCCCAATAGCCATGAACATGAGGAGGAAATGGAGGTGGTGCAAAGTATTGAGGAGGAGGAGGAGCTATGCCCCCATAGCCATGAACATGAGGAGGAAAAGAAGTTTGTGCAATGTACTGAAGAGGATAAGGTATGGCCCCATAACCATAACCACAATTATAAGCATCGAAAACAGGCAGCCAAGCTGATGGTGGTGGTGGAGCTGGTGTTCCTAACGATCGAGTCCTTGACATCGTTGTTTCCTCCTCACAAGGTGCTAAAATACAGCCAAGGCAAAGATGGAAGCTGCAATCCTTACATCTATAACGCCACGACGAGCACATATCTTTACAGACCATGCACTCGATGGGCACCGATATTTCCAGCCACAAAAGATGATCCTTATGCATCGCATGCGTTGTATATTCAGGTAGTTGTGTACAAATAGGGTGCACATCGAAATCACATAGCTCGCACCTATAGAAAAGTCCTTCGACAGGGTCGTCACACAATTAGCACACATGGTCTGGCTTGCGACCAACTAGTTCGAGACCATGTTGGTGCATAAAAGAAGAGAGTTCCATAGGGCAGTCAGCACAGTGATGATGGAGATTTAAATCGCATGGTTCACATCGATACCTTGTGCCGGAACCTGGAGTCCGGCAACCTTTGCAGAGGAACTCCGTGTTGGCCGATACTTGTGTTAACGGATGGAGACAATGGGTAAAATGCTGTAGGATTTCGTTGGATAATGTAGCCATCTCTCTCTATCTACGCAAAGGATTGCCTTTTTTTTTTCCAGTAGATTGCCAGTGTCTGTTAATACATAAATAGTCGTGTTTGAACTTTGAAGATGGCTGAAGCTTCACCAAGTAGTCCTTATAAGAAGACAAAGACTTCAATGTTAACAAGTCTAGCTTTGGAGCTTTCTGAGTTACGTGGAACGACTTTTCTATAATTGGTTTGTAAACCAAGTAAATGACAACGACAGACGAGTATACATCTACCAAGTGGAGAAAGTATGGCATCAAAGGAACAATGGTGTCCATGGCTGCAACCTTCATCTAGCTATGATGTTCTGTGAAGATACTAAATTTTTTATCCATATTATTATTATTATTATTATTATTATCATTATTAATATTATTATTATTATTATTATTATTATTATTATTATTATCATTATTATTATTATTATTATCATTATTATTATTATTATTAATTTATATTAAATATATTAAATACATAATAATATTTACAGGCCCAATTACAACTGGACCGGTCCAGTTACAAACCAACCAGAACCGGTCCAAAACTAACTAGAAACCCTAAATGTGTAGATTTCCAGTTAGGGTTTCCTAAACCTAATCCCAGCCGCCTCATCATCACAGCCGTTGGATCTGAGAGATCCAACGGCCCACACTCATCCAGCACAAACCCTAGGGTATGATACCCTAGGGCCACGCGGCCGCCGCTGCTGCTGCTTCCAGAAGCCCTCACCGCCTCCGCCGCTGCCACGTCCCGAATGATGCTTCCAGAAGATCAACGCCAGCCGTCCATGCAAGGCTACAGGGTGAGTCACCACTGGTAGTCCGTGACTCACCGAGCCCCCTCTTCGGACCGGTCCGAGACGAACACCGGTGGTGGCTATAAAAGCCACCACCCACCTGAAAAAAAAAGAGACAGAGACGGAGAGACAAAAAGAAGAGACAGAAACAAAAAAAATATACAGAGAAAAACAAACTATACCAACGATCTCAGCAGCAAAGAACCAGAAGGAAAAAAAAAAGAGAAAGAAAAAGGAAGAAGAGACTTACCAAGGAAGCCTTGACCGTCGCCGGAAACATTGAACATCGCCGGAGAACCAAAAATACCGAAGGTATATTTACAGATCTGCTCCGATTGGGAGCCATTTAAGGAAAAAGAACATCGGAACCGTCCTTAGGACGGTCCGATCTATCTATTAGTATAAGAATAATTTTTTCCGGCCACCGGATGCGGTGGCCGGCGATGACATTCACGGTGGCACACGGTGGCCGACCGGTGACCGGCTTCCCTCCGGTGAGGGAAGCTAGAGAGAAGGCAGAGAGTTTAAAACTCTCTCGGTTTAGAGAGAGAGAAGGAAATGAGGAATGAAATGGTTGGCCCTTCGGGCCAGCCGATTTGGACATTTATAGTCCTTCCCGAACGACGTCGTTTCGGGAAGGACTATGCGCGTAATTACAAAATAGTTAAATCCCTTCCGCAGTCCTTCATATTTGTAAACTTTACATTTTGGTCACTAAACTGAATTTATAAGAATTTTAATTCGGTCTTTGAATTTTAATTTTATTCATTTTAGTCTTTTTAATTAAAATAATATATTTAGGATAAATGACAGATTTAATCCCTTAATTTTAATAAATAATTTTTTAGTCCCTAGTTCATACTTTTAATTTATTTTATTATAAAATTTGAATTTTAGATAATTTTATTTTGGTCATTAAATTATTAAATTAGAAAAAATATATATTTAATCCCTATGATTTCAATTAATTAGGAATTAGATTTAGTTTTATCTTATTCATAATTTAGTTATTTATTTTATATGTTTTCATTTTATTGCTTAAAATATATTGTTTTAGTGGTATTTTTATTTTATACTGTTAAATATTTTTATATATATTCATAAATATACATATAAATTTTTTTAAATATTTGTTTTTTTTAATATCGAAGAAAAGGACAGTCTTAATACAACTGGATGTCCTATTCTGATATTTTAAAATTAAAAAGTAAACAATATTATTTAAATTAATATTTATCAATATCAAAGAAAAGAGCTGTCTTAAGGTACCTAGAAGTTCTTTTCGGATATTTTTAATTAATATTTTTTTAATAGAATATAAATTAATATATTTTTGCATTTAATAGAGACAATTTATAATTAAAAAGTACCAATTTTGGGCGTTGTAGGGGTGCTAATCCTTCCCTAAACGTAACCGACCACGAATCCCTTTTTATTATTAAAAAGAACGAATTTTTGGTTATAAAACGCAGATCAGTTCATCTTTTAAATATGGTTTTCTTAAAAACTATTTTAAAAGAAAATTTTTAGGTATTCGACCTACCTAATCCAAAAGATCGATGGCGACTCACAAATTATTTTCAAAATTATTTATTAAATTCCCCGCCAAATTTTAATATTTTGTTCCCGGACGAAAACCGGTTACGACAGCTTGGCGACTCCGCTGGGGACTGATCAAACTTTTAAAAATTAATTATAAATTGTCTCTATTAAAAATTAAAAATTTATATATTTAATTTTTAATTCTTTCTTTTCAAATTTTTTTTATTATATTATTATTTTTATAATATTTATATGTTTTATTTGCAAGTATTTTATTTCAGTATTTATTTTTATGTCAAAAGTTTAACATTTCTCCTCACACACAACACTTGCATTGCATAACATAAAGCTCTATAATTGAGTTGTCCCTTTTAAGTGAAAGTGAAAGCAACGTCTTCGTGAGAATTTATTCTCCGTGTCAGACCTAGCAAGTAACTTTCGGGGTTCATATGCTCTCTGTCTTCGTGAGAATTTATTCTCCGTGTCAGGCATAGAGAAATGTATCCCCTCGAATTGAACTCGATTCACTTTAGTCTGTAATGGACTAGGATTGAGGGTTAGCAACCCAAGGGGGCACTAACAAGGACAATTTGGGTACCTTTACTCCTAGTTCTGAAACCCTGCATAAAAAACCTTAGAAACTCTTCCAATCAGAAGTCATGCCGAAATTTTGTCCAAAATAGGTGTACACACAGGAGAAATGAATTATGTCTTTCCTGTTAATTTATTTTACATGTTTATTTAAATTATTTAGAAAAGCATGTTTAAATTAAATAAATGTTATTATCCTTTAAACTAACTTATTTTCTTTTTGTGTGTTCTTTATTTTTCTGTTTGCATAGCATCATACAGGATAAAAGACATTGATCCTTGTGTTAATAGTCTCATTGGAAAACCTTCATCCATGGATAAAAAGGGTTCAAGTCAAGTAATTCTAAACTCAGAAGTAAGACAGTGGGCTGAAGATTTACAAAGACAAGAAGGAGATAGTCTGCCAGATGATTATGTATCTGACTTGGCCAGTTATGCTTCAGTTTCACTAAAAAGAAATGATCTGCAAGATTTGCGAGGTATTTGGGAAAGTTGGGATTCAAACAAAAAATTGCAGTTTTATCAGACTTACGGAGACATCCCATATTTGCTCTATGTTGAAGTTGATGATGAATTACTCAGAGCCCTAGTTCAATTCTGGAATCCAGGGTACAATTGCTTCACTTTCAATAAGGAGGACTTGGTCCCTACTATTGAAGAATATACAACTTTGTTACATTTTGAAGGTGCTTTGGAGAGTCGAATATATTCAAAGTCAATTAAAACTCAGCCCTTTCGAGTTAAATTAGCAAAGATTGCTGGGGTACGAGAAGAATGGGTAGCATCCCGTACAAACCAAAAAGGCGAAAGCGAAGGCATTGCTTGGACCAACATCAGAGAGCTTATTCAGAGTCATCCAGACGCTAAAGTACGATTCGATCTATTTGCTCTGGGTATATATGGTATGGTCATCTTCCCAAAAGCATTGGGATATATTGAAGCTGCAGTAGTAGACTTGTTTGAACAACTGCCAAAGAAGATTAACCCTGTTTCTGCCATCCTAGCAGAGACCTTCAGATCGTTAAATGCTTGCAGAAGGCTAGGAGGTGGACGATTCTCAGGGTGTACCAGTTGTTATATGTTTGGATCCGTAGTCATTTCTGGAGGACGGAAAAGGTTTCATACCGACGCTTCAATACGGATTACTCACCATTAAAAGAATTTCTAGAGCAGGAATGGCCGAAAGAAATTAAGAAGGATATGTGGATTAATGCCTTTAGAAATCTGCAAAGCAATGACATTGTTTGGCGAGCCCCGTGGCAAATACAAAGGGAATTCTTTTACAAATGTGGTGATTACAACTGGATAATGCTGCTCGGATTATGGGGAGGAATTGGATATGCACCACTGCTGGTTATAAGGCAGTATGAAGGTCGTCAATTTGTACCTGTCACTGCTGGACTACAGTCATCTGAGTTTGCATTCCACAGCAAAAATTATAAAGAAATCATGGAAGCCGTTACAGCTTGGAAAACACTTTTTGTATCCGAGCTAAAGCAGCAAAAGAAATGCTAACTCCTGATTATGAAGAATGGAGATTTGTCAGGAAAAATGAAAATATTCCTCTACCAGATCAAAATGAGGATATTTCTATGGATGATCGCATCAAGGTGGTTCCATCAGAGATTGAAATCCTGAGAGCTGAGTTTGAAGCAGAAAGAGATGGCTGGTCGAAAGAATTAGAGCAAATGAGACAAGATAAAGCTATGTTGGGGGTTGACATTGACTTTCATTCGTCACAATGTGCAATATTGAGAAAAGATAAAGAAAAAGGTGAGGATGAGTACAGAGCCTTACAGAAAGATTACCAGGAGTTATAAATCCCGAAAAGCATCAGGACCCAGCCAATCGACGGTACAGATGACCAGAGAATTGAATATTGAGAAAAGACGAGTTGAAGAGTTGAAAGGAAAGAATAGTTGTCTACTCAAAAACCTGGAAAAAGGAAAGCAAAAATGGAAGATTTCGAGGTTGACAGGAGAGAGCGAATTATAAAACACAAGGCTGAACACCGTGAGATCATGAATGAAATGCAAAGAGAAAGAGATCGAGCCAAAGATTTAGAAGAGATGAAGAATGACAT